GGGGGGGGGGGGGGGGAGTCACATGCAAGGGGAAAACAGAAATCAAATGCGGCGTTGGAGGGGGAGGAGGGTAGGGGGCGGAGGAGGGGAAATGCCAAGAGGAAAAGGAGGAGACGGGGAAGGAGGAGGAGGAAAAGGAGGAGGAGGAAGGGGAGGAGAAGCCCAAAGGACCCCGCGGCTGCACCGAAACCAAAGTCTGAAGCACCAACTGCTGTTGAGGGGAAGTCCCACGGGACGGTTGGGCCCAGTGATGATGCGTGTGGGGCAGTGGTTGGGGTGGGGGGGTTGGAGGGGCCTTCGTGGACTTGGGCGTCCAAGTGGTGGGGTGTGTGTGTGGCTGTAGCAGCAACAACAACAGTAGTAACAGCAGTAGCAGCAACTGCATGGCCAAAGGCATCAAGGAGCCCCGCCGGGCAAGGCGACGTACGGCGGCTCACGGCGACCTAAAAAAACACACTGCCACTTCCACGTCCACTTCCTACTGACCCGAAGAACGAATGTCCCACACAATGCCTCCTCACACCCCACCCCCCACACCACCGGGCCTTCTACATCCCCCCCTCCCCGCCTCATCCCCTCACCCCACCCCACACCTCCCTCTATGCTATGCACACTGACATACAGACATACAGACACACGTACAAAACCCTAAAGGCCCCCCTCCCCCACATCGGCAGTTGCCCCCCCCTCCCCCCCCCTGCATGTGCACCCACCGGGCCCCTCCATGTGCTCCAGGGGGAACCTCTCCGACTGCATGGACCGGGGGTCCCGCAGCGGGGAGTTCAGGCGGGCTAGGGAGGCACGCACCACATTGGTGGGCTGAGACACCGGGGCGGGCGGGTGGGGTGGGGTGGGGTGGGGCGGGAGGGAGGGAGGTTGAGCCAGATGGAGGGGGAGAGAGAAAGGGGGAGATGCAGCACAGCAGAACGAGCAGGAGGAAGAGGAGGAGAGGAGATGCGGAAACAATTTCCCTCTCCTGTGGTTCTCGCGATATCTCACCTGCTCTCCCAAGGGATGATGTCCCCCCCCTTTTGCCCTCCCAAACCCTCCAAACTCCCCCCCTCCCTCACCACCAACCCCCCCATACACACACACCCAGTGGCCCCCACTGGGCCCTCCTCTCAAAACCTTTCCCGGTGATTTCCCGGTAATCCTCTCACCCCCCCCG